GTTGGTTCGTCGCTAGCCAGAGTTTCTTGCTGCTTATTCTTATTATTCTGGCCATCTATCTGGTCTTCAGTATCTAATGAGCTTTGGGGCAGCTGCTGATGAGTGTCTGTTGGAAGTGCTCCTCGTGACACCCCAGGTTTGTGAACCATATAGCGGCAATGACTTGGTTGACATTGGGGTTGAAAATCCGGATGTTGTTCACGCCTTATGCTGAGTGCAGTAGATCTCCACACTGATTTCAGATTGATGAAGGCCTATCTTGCTGCCTTTCCAATCCTGGTGGCTTTGACATCCTCGTCTGCGCCACCGCTACCTGTAGTGGAAACGATGCCATGCAGGTAGGTAGGTGGAAGAGATCACTTCCTTTAGGTTTCTCCCGTTGATGATGATTGGCGCTTGTTGTTGATGCTGTTGTTGTTGTTGGTTGGGTATCTTCACCACCTCCGTCTTCCCTACATTCACTTGAACTCTCGTTTTTGCTGCCCTGTCTCTTCTGTCGACTTGTTGGTTTTCGCCTGTAGATTTTCGAGTTCATTAGACATTAGACACAAATCCAAATCTCCTAAGGTCTTCTCATCGGTCCAGCGTATGCCCATCTTTTCGCTCCTCACTGTTTTCTGCACAATCCAGTCAACCACAGTCGGAGAGATCGCCGGTGATAGTAGGCAGCCTTGTCTTACTTTTATCTCCTGTCTTCACTTCAAAGGTGTCACTGAGCTTTCCATTGTGAATCACTCAGCATGTAGCATCATCATCATATAGCGTATAGCTGTTGAATGAGGTTGATAAAGGTTTGTGGGGCTAAAATAATAATAATAATAATATTTATTCCCGAATATACAGGCACACACCATTTTTACAGGTATGAATAAGTTGATATACACATTACATTCATCTTCATGGAAGGTAATCTCAATCCCCACCTACTGTCACTAGAAGATATAAGTGCTGCATGTTCATATAATGGAACATCCCAGCAGGATAAGTGTGCAGAAAATTTAAAAGTTGGCCAAGTGAAAGTATTGTCTTCGCATTAACAAAAAAACCAGGTTTGTATCTAGACACTACAGGTATTACCTGGAGAAAAATAAAGCTTGGAGCTAATACTTCCACTGTAGTGTTAGAGCAGTTCCCAAGACCATGGGAAATTTGGGAATGTTTCGGGCGCGTTCCTCACCACCCAAATGCAAGTTTTTGCTCCAGGTTTGGTCTTCAATGGTGCCACGGCTAACGCTGGAGAGTGTAGTGGTTGAGTGTGTCGACCACTTCACTTGCCTGGGAAGTAGGATCAGCTCTAGTAGCTCAGTGGCTAACGAAATTTCTGCGTGAATACAAAGGGCTGGACTGGCTTCTGGCAAGTTACACCACCCGTGGTACCGCCGTGATGTCCAACTGTCTACTGAGGGTCGCGTGTACCGCACAACAGTCCGGTCCGTTCTGCTTTGTGGCTGCGAAACTTGACAATTGAAGGTGGAAGAAATGAGACAGCTTCAGACGTTTAACGACCGTTACCTTCTTAACGCAGGCCGTGGTGTCACCAGGTGAGTAATGCAGATGTCGGGCTGAGGCGTAGAGCTTTAGGGAGAAGGGGTAAATCAGTCGGTGAGGTTGTGAACCTTCATCGAGTGAGATGATTGGGACACGTGGTACGTACGCCTGGTCGTCGTCTGCGTCGTCACATAATGTCGGGCAAAGTAGGTTCAGGCTGGAAGAAGGCCTTTGGCTCTCAGCCAAACTATGACATGGGGTCAATATATGAAGTCGATGTCGGTTTGGCCATGTGGGTGATGTAGATTAGCCAGTCGAGGTCTCCGGGACAAGAGGGACCAGAGGTTGGATACTGACCCTAGGCGACATGGCTTGGGACCGATGTCCGTGGCGCAGATGTAGGCATACATTATCCTCATCTTAGCGACGCTAAATGAACTCTCACCATTTCTTCATTCTTCTTTCCTCTCTTTTCGTACTTTATATCGCTTCTGACTGAACTTCGTTTTCTTCATCTTGTACTTCACTGCCTTTTACTTGATGTACTGATATGAAATGGGGCGTGGCAAGTTGAACCGTTACGTAGAAATGCCTGGTGCAGTGTTGATATTGATGATGATGAATTCACTCCGAACATCCGTCGAGTTTCTGGCAAGAACAATTCTGAACCGAGGCACGATCTCGGGTTTGCACTTCGTCTTTGCCTCAGGTAGTTGATTCCAAGAAGATTTTTAAGTACAAATTGCTTCAAGACGGCCACTCGCACCACTTTCGAGTAACGCAGTTACAAATTTTTAATATCTTCACAGCTAATCCGAGGCTTAAACTTACTTCCCCCGTCAGTGGAGCCCTGCAAGACCTTTCATATCTACGTTTCAATGCGACTGAGGTGATATTCACTTGAACTGTTTGGCCAGGCATTACTTGTGTTGCTCGGACCTGCGGGCCTGTATGCAGTCAAAACCGACATTTCAGGGTAAAGTGATATAGCGTTGCATCGTTTTAAATTTTTTCCAAACCACATTCACTTTTTCTCGACGTTCATTTGAACGTAAGTGGTCCGCTTCCAACTTCTTATGGCTATTCATATTTACTAACACATGTGGATAGGTTCCCTATCAGATATTACATCTGAAACAGTCAGTCGAGTGTTTGTCATAAGATAGATTCCACAGCTTGGACGCCATTCTACCGTGACAGCTCACTAAAAGCAAAAACATCAACCTATTAACTTCCGCAATCGTTTCACTCTTTCGAAGTGAAAACGATTTGGAATCACCAGTTGTAGCTTGTAATAGCCTAGCACAGCGCTTCCACTGTCATCTTCAAGCATCTCTAGTGTAAATGGACAACACTAGACGGTCTGAATCCCTGCATTAATTCTTCACAGAGGTGGCCTCACACTTAAGACGGATATGCAGTGTACTCTTTTCGGGTTTGTTGGAGGAAGCCCACAGCGTCCACCTGGTAAAGTTTGTTGTCGAATACTCAGGGCTAACAGTAACGGATGCATATGGCTGTGCTCAGGACTTTATGTTTCAAAAGCATTACCTCCGACTGTAATCCATTCGGACGGGGTGTAGTTGGACAACGTTGTCCTCCAGAATAGTGGTCTTACTTCAGACCGATAAACAGACTCCTAGTTACAGCCTCCTTGTCATCTTATCTTGGTTGTTTCTTGTCATCAGTAATTACACGTAGGTATGATACCGAGTGACTTGGCATCAGCACAGTTTAATTTGCACAGGGCTGGCCGCTTGTAATGCAGCAGCAAGACAACCAGCCTCTTACAAGCCTTTCGGCGAATCGCTTAGTACATACTTATCTTAGTATTGGGTTTTTGAAGGCCGAAAACACGCCGTAATCGTCCCAGTATTCGAAGTATGTGGGCGGCAGCTGTTAGCAAGCTGAAACTTCACTGACCCTTATGCTAAGATTACTTGGGCAGTTCGGTGGTTATTCTTATGAAAATCTGTAGCTTCCCTACATCGGACCTATTTCTGCTGATGTGCATCACTCCCGCTCAGTTAATCTCAATATCTCAGTAAAGTAACGCGTAAAGACTTCGCAGAAGCAGCTTCTTGCAAGTTTTGCACCTACTGATCTCGATAAGACTATTGGTAGTTTCGCGAATATTTAGTGCAGGGAATTGCTGTTGTTTCCGTTTTGACAGTGTGATTCAGGCCTGTACTACGCAAGCCCTATGCAGTAAGAAGCACTTAACTAGCAAGACTAGGATGCTATCCTCATGGCAACATATGAAGTACTTGGGGGCCCAGGGTAGAGCATTCGTCCCATTTCCCCCATGCTTTTTCAATAAATTAAAAAAATTCTCTAGTATTGTCATTCCCTGATGGTGCAAATATAGATAGGATTTTCCGTAGCAGTGAATTCAGTCATGCCTTGCTAGTGGACCCGGTTGAATTAGTCAATCGAGACGGATGCTGTCATCCAGATATTACTTATGACAAATGTGGTGCCAAGTCCAGTGATTATAGCACCCGTCACCAAGATATAATCTGTTGGTCACTGGGGTATAAAGTCCGCTGCAAACAAGTTCGCATATGCTCACATACTACTACGCCACCAGGGTGAGCGAATGCTAAGTAAACTAGTCTTAACGCAGAAATAGTGTATCCTGAATGACTGAAGCCAAAACTGGAACGCCAGTCACAGTCAGTGCACCCAATCCCAGAGGAGTATAGTAGGCCAGATATCAGGTGGACTTCTATTTCCCTATATTTATTACACCTGTGAATGCCCTCTCTGCAGAAGTAGTCCAGGCCAATTTGTTTGGATCGTCTAAATGCCAACTTGACACCTAACTGCGATGTGAACTTTCTGTTCTTTGTATTGTACGCAGGTCAATAATTGTAGGAATCAGTGGCCTACTTCTACTAGATACTGTAGCTGTTCCGTCACCAGTCAGTTGAAGCCACTAAAGGCCGGTAGCAAGTTGTTTACAAGTCTATCTATATTATTCCGCAATGGGAATTGGGATTGTTTCAAACTGTTTCTGTTGTCCTGTGGTGAGGGGAGAAGGATTGACCTTATAATGACATTTCCTATCTTTGGCAGTAACGCGGTTGTTGAGGCGTCTTATCCTTCTCTCTCAAGGGGTTGGCCGATACAGAAAGTACCCCAATAAAACTCAAGAACAATTACTGAGTCATTTTAGCGTGCACATGATGTTCTTCCATAGGATGGTCAGTGAGTCAACTCCAGTGAAAGTAATAAAGATGAAAACACAACTTCTTGGATATATTATGCATTCAGGTTAACACAAGCTAAATGGGCATACTGCCTTCATAATGGAAAACTTAATATGTTTCATTTTCTATCTTACAGTAAAGCTTTTACAGTTTTATTTCAGCTCACTCAAGAAAGCAAGGCTACAATTTTTCCGGAGGATTCGACCATATCTATGGAAAAATCTACTGATAATACTCTAGTACTTGATTTGGGCCTGATAAGAATGGTATTAAAACCTCTACTGTTGTACAGGAAGTCGTGGGAATTGCAACTGGTGCGGTACATCGTTTGCACGTTGGTATGCTGGTATCTCAGGAAAATGTCGATGAGTATGACTTTGACTCCTCAGATGAAGAAGTAATGTTGTTTTTAATGTTTATTGAAGATTAGGATGTGAGAAATACAGTTGGAAACATACCTCTGCAGTGGTATGATTCCCTGGGCCATATCGGATATGATACTTCTGGTAGACCGATCATGAAACCAGATGTTTACAGTGGAAAATCTGATGCTATTGATGAGTTTCTGCGTAAAACTGATACCGTGGGTGGTGAGTCAGGCGTAGAATGGCGTTCCGTACGCGATCCACTGACAGGGCAGTTAGTGGTGTTAAGTGATCGTGACTTGGAGATCGTTCATAAGACAGTCAAGGGCGAAGGCGTAACAGTTGATTCTAAAGAAGAACTTTTCAAGGTAAATGATATTTTCAAGTTGATAAATTCCAGGAGTGGGAAGAATGGTTTACTAGGGATGTTATGCAAATGCCTCTTACAGCTCATCCTCCACAAAAGAGAAGCTTTATTCCGTCTCTTCTGGATAAAAGACGTGTAAGTAGTCATTTTAAGATTAAATTGTGTCATCAATAATCACTGCTTCCACCTTATTGTCTGTTATTCCACTAAAAACTAAGGTTGTAGCTATGTCGAATGCTGTCTTTGAAAAGGCTCCCAATTTTTCATGCTTTTTGGTTATGAATATATTCAGTTTAACGTGTAGTGATAAATTCTAATTTCAGATTACTTCACCGTGCTCGGAGCATTTATTCCTGTTGGAACAGTCATATTTCCTGAGTATGCTGTTTACTTCAGTATTTGAAACTCTCATCTTTTAGTTTAACTTTTTAAAATATCTACTACGCTATAAAGTCTGAGGTGCACTATGCAGTTCGGTATGACTGGGTCTGTTGTAGTTTATTTTGCTTTTTTCACCTAGTTGGTTCAGGCAAACTAGCTTTGACGTATGGTTAGTGTGTTTACAACACAATCCGCACACCACAAATTGATGAAACTTATAAAATGCGAAGCAATAAGTTGTTTATCAGGTTTTAGAGACTTATGCCACAGTTTGTTTGATATTTAATTGTTGAGATGAGTATTTTATTTATGTATTACAGGTTGGTAGGATGGTTCACGCCATTAAAAATGGTTGGCTAGTTCCAAAATTACCATCATGGGCATTAAGTGATCCAAACAATCCAGAAGAACTTCAGAGATACGCAGCTTACATGACTTCAGGAAATCCAGACGTGCTAGATGCGGATTATGATGAAGAACCTCTGAGTTTTAGTTCGTTTGATATATCATCATATGTTTTTCCGGATGTCTGGAACGATCAAGACAATGAAAGCAATCAATTAGATACACCAACGGACTCATGGCGATCAAAGCTACCAATGCTTGCTTCAGACTATCGACCACAGAGACCACGTCCATACCAAAAGGCTGCAGAAGAACCTCTGCCCGGCCATATAGCTTCTTATAATCCGCCTCCGGAATTTATACTTTCAAAAGACGAAGTAAGTCTCTCATGCCGTATATTTAACTTGCTCAGGATCCCATTGTAAATGTAGTATATTAATCAGTTCACCAGTTGCTATTGTAGAAGTATGGTTCAGTAGTTCCATTGTTTATCTGGTAAACTGGTGAATTGTGGATTCGGATTGATAAGCTTGTGTCGTTGTTGGATATCACAGACTGCTTTGTAATTGAGCAAACAGTGATTCAAATGTTACTTCTATTATCTTCAGAGAGAGTGGGCACTCAACTCACAGGACTGTATATTCGACCTAAATAATATTAGATATCAGTAGTAGTGTTTTTTTTAGTTGGTTTGATCATTAATTTCATGTCAATGTTGATATGAAATCTAACATTTCTGTATGGCGGTTCAAGTTACCATACCACAAGAGCACGACACAAGGAAGGAGTGATCAGGCGCTGCAGTTGAGGTTGGGGAAACCTAAATGGCTTCAGAAGCAACTGTAATATGAAGCTGGTGAGCGTGGATGGGGATAACTCTCTTTATCTATCGCCAAACATGATAAGAATAGGTCATCAAGCCAGTATTCAAACATCTTCCGAATTTTTATCTAGAAACAGTCAGGGGTGCCTACTGAGATTTGGGAAAGCAATAACCACACAAATTGACTTCATTTTTGTGTGTGCTATGGCAGTTTGTCCTACTTTGGTAAGCTCATCAACTTTCATATTCTCCCTTTGTCGGTTTCATATAAATTGACTAAGGATAGTAGGTTGAGTAGCCTGTATTAATCCTGGCAGTATAATTCTCTGCTAAGATCCAACCTCTTCCTGAAAGCGTTCACTGAAGGAGCAGCTAACATGAATTCCGATAATAAGTTCTACTCGTTGACCACCCTGGGGCAGAGTCAATTTCACCCGTAGTTTATTTGACCGTGGCTTTTACGTGATCACCTCTTAGATAGTTGGTCATAGAAGGAGTGAAGAGATTAGAGAGATGATTCAAGTCATTATTCATGATACAATACCCTAATATAAAATTTCCTCCCTTCTAATGGTATGATAGCGGGAGAACATTCAGACATTTCAACCGCTTTTCACAGGGAAGATACGAAAGTCCTACCAGTAACTTAGTACTCACACTTTGTACCCGTTCTAGAGTATCTGATTCTTGTTTGAAGCAAAGACTAGCCACTATTATGCAGTGTTCTAAATGAGGTCTTACATAAGAAGGATAAAGTATCGTAAATATTTCTTCATCAGAGCACTTAAAGGCACTTACAGAGGGACCGCAGCTTGCCGAATACCTTGGCTGCAGCCACGTTACAGTGTGCTGTTTTTGCTGGTTGTGGCTGGTAACAGCCCCTAGATCTTTTTGTTTTTCACTGCAAGGCAATATTGGTCCATCTGATGAGTAAGGGTAGTATGACTTGACCAATGTGCACTTTTGCTAGAGTCGATTTCTAGGCTTCAACGATTAGAGCAGTCAGTCAACTCATCAATCAATCAGTCAATCTAGAATGCTATCCTATGATATTTACCATGAACCCTCCAAATCTTAACGTCATCTGTGAATGGTGTTGTGGAGATACATTACACATTATTCTGATTACACTATCGAAGTTTATAAAAGGGACTAATTTTTTCAAATCTCTGAGGTTCATTTGATTTTTTATATTTTTTTTCAAGTAATGTTGGATATTGGGTGTACTCCGCTTTTTGACAATGTACCCTTCATTTTGTGTATACAATATAGGAGAAAAAAGTTATGAAAGCTTGGCGAGAACGAGTCCAAGATGGACATGTTTCACGTGTTCCCCCGCAAATGCCTCGCAAGTTTTCATGCTTAAGACATGTACCGTTTTCTGAACGTTATCTTCGTGAGCGTGAAGAACGTGTCAAAGACTTGATTATGGCTACACGTTTTGAAAAACAACGAGTTTCAACAACTCCTGACGCTATGCTACCGCCTATACCGAGTCTTTCACAGTTGCGACCGTATCCAAGTCATATGGGTTTGCAATACAGGTAGCTTTTCATAAATATATTTCTAAGTGTGATTATATTTGATTGGTCATTGATGCGTAGAATGTTGTATTTTCACTCCGTCTATCTTTCCTTACACCGAGGTTACCTTTTTGAACAGTTAAAAACGTATTTCCGTTTTAGTTGTCTGCACAACTGTTTGGTTATTCTGCTAAACATAAGGTTGAGAGTGCTGCCGTACTTTTTTGAAAAAAACTGGGGTTTGAGTGGAACATAGATTTGTATATCTTTTCATTTCGTTTATAGGCTTCTAAAATTATGGATAGTGATATTGTTTGCCTGTGTAAATTTATATAGGAAAATATGTATGTCTGTCTTCACAGGGATTAATCTCCACCCCGGAGGTTACTTCACTTCACAGATAATATTATCCTGCTAAGTAAAGACGCCTACAAAATGAAGGGTCTGGTTAACTTATTGAGCAGAAATTTGAGCACCTTTGGCATGTGTCGCACCTACCAAATATAAGATGATGCTTCAGGGCTAGTCTGCAACTATTAGTGTAAGGATACGGAGTGAAGTGGTGGAATGTGTCGACCACTTCGCTTAGTTGGGGAGTTGCATAAGCTCAAACGGTCTGATTTCTGACGAAATCTCACCTCGGATAGAGAAGGCCCGTTTAGCATCTGCCAACTTGCGTCATCTCTGGCACTGACTGGCGAGATATTCTACTACCGCATGCCGAGCCACCACCTACCCATGCTAGATGAAGTTAGACCAAATTGTAAGAGGGTTCAAGGTGACCGGGTGAAAATGTGGCACCAGTCGATGAAATCTCTGAATATTGGCCTGAGTCGTGTAGGGAGATATAGACTGCCTGATTTGGGTCCTTGAGATGAAAGGAATCAGTGGTTGAGGACTCTTAGTGACTTGGGTGAAAATTGGTCACAATGGTGCAGCTGTTTGCACTTTTTGACGTCTTCTGAAGCTTGAATATTTGCACTAGCCTTTATCTTAAAATCGTTCATTCCGTCACACAACTTTGTCTACTTTGATATCAGTCTTTTTCTGTTCAATTGTTATTTGTATACTACTGTGGTGTGTGGCAAGTTGAACTGATGCACTGGCATGCTAAGTTCTACTTTGATTTCGTCTGTTTGTAGGAAAATACTACCTCAAAGTATTTAGTTAACTGCAAATTGTGTTAGTTGGTCAAATCAAAATGAACTCAGCAACTATACGCACGTCTGTGGAGTAAGTAGTGAACCAAACATTGTGTGAAGGCTAATAATACTACCTGGTTGGGCAGACTTCGGTAGGGGATCGGACCCCATGACCTGTATTGGAAGTTGAGTCCTTAAACCAGTGAGACAGCTCTAGCAATCTAGTGACGAACAGTCAGTCTAAGAGTCACCAGCGGATAGTAGATGGTTAGAACTTGTTATGAAAAATTTTGCGTAGCTTACCTAAAGGATATTACTTTCGTCATTGCCTTCCATTTACTCTATGAAAGGAATATAAAAATCAGGCAGGTGGTCAACTTATTATGTTTGCTTTCAAATTAATGCAGTTACTTACTCCTTTCCAACAAGAGAAAACTGGGAACCATCTGAAGGGTGTTCATCAGAAATGTATTATCCCTTAAGTCTTTTAAAAAAAAGGATCTGTATTGTGAAACAATACCTCTCACCTCCAATTTCTGAAAGATTTATATCTTACTTAGTTGTTGATATAGTCGTTTCAAATGGTGATGCTGGCAAGATGAAAAGTTTCTTTGGTGTTATTCCAATCTATGAGCTGGATGGTTCAGTCAGTAAGCTTTCGCTGTCTTTCCGGACGTTATCATTATTAGCTTCAATATGAAGAGGTTTCTGAACACTGAGCAATGGTGTGATAGGATTTCTAATAGAAATTGTTCTTTTATGATTTGTGAAGATGCCTAGTTTATCAGTGTTTAGCGGAATTGTTGGTCAGTATTTTTACGCAGAAATTTAAATCAAACAAGGTTGGCGTGAGTACCGAAAGTTGTTTCGGGTTTCATTACTTGTATTGCACTGGATATATCCAAGTGCGTATTGTGAACAAAATTCATTATGTATGCATCAGCATTCCATTTCTACGGGTTGCTATTTGTGGGTAAAGTGTTACTATTATTACAATTTTACTTGAGGGTGAGAGAAGTTCTAAACTTTCATATGCTTGGTTATCTATATTTTAGAAGCGGTGAAGCGGGCTCAAAGTGTTATTGCTATTTTAAAAATGAATTTTTAACACAAACACTAGGTACAATATGGGTACCATGGGTACATGTTGATGTTACTAGGCTACAACCCACATTTACTGTGCCAGGATGTATGTGATGCTGCCAGCCATGTTTTCAGTTTATAACACTGTGAATCTACTTTGATTCTGTTAGCTTGGATACTCGGCACTTGTGTGAATAAGGAATGGCTCGTTAAAAAGAAAGTCGAAATCCACACATCAACCTTGTGCACATCCGTACAGTAGGCCACACATATTGTGTGAGGGTTAATTATACTACCTGGCTACCCAAACCTCGGTAGGTAGGGCGGTGTTTAAACCTGTGGCGCTCACTGGTTGAAAATCAACTCACTGAATCAATGAACCAGAAATGGAAGTGGCTGATGCTACATTTGCTGTTATAGAGTAGATTTCAGTTACTGCCTAGCGTGAGGACCTGTGGTGTAGTACCTTCAAAGTACCTTCATGAAAAGTAACTTCTGTTAATTTTATATACGAGATTTACTGAATATGTTTTCTGTATTATTGGGTTTCATGTAAAGTGGTCATTCAGGACGTGTGACTGCGCTATCAGTTTCACCGTGTGGACAATGGCTTGCAAGCATATCTCCTTCGGATGGTTATTTACGTGTTTGGGAGACTTCAACAAATTATTGCTTCCGAGTTTATCGTCTTACCACTCCATGTGCAAGAGAAAAGCCGAAATCAAAGAAGGAGATTATCGCTACATCAAAGTCTAGTCATATAGACTTGGCATTAGATCCTGAGGAAGCGGGTCAACCTAGTGATGATGAAGAAAGCTGGTCTCCATCTTCTCCTTCAGCTACTGTCGCCTGGAATCCCAATCCTGAGTTGCATCTTTTGGCTGCAGCAATGTAAGGTGGTACACAATTTTATTATTTTTAGCGTAGTACTTTTTTCCATTTTGATTTTCAAACTTTAGAACATTATACTATGTGGACGCGATGCTTATTATCCTCATGTCCTTGTAGACATCCTGATTGGGATAACTGACTGATTAAAATTTATCCCTTTGAATTGTTAAAGCCTACTGCTTTCAGTTATATTTCAGCATTATGACCCACTCCATTTTATTCAGTTTTTGTTGGTAAGCGTTATCTGCCTCAGTGATTGTGATCCCTGTTAGACAAAGGTGTGATTGTTATATAAGTAGGTTTTAATATAATCCCAGCTTGTTTATAAAACCAAACACAATGTTATTCTAAACGTTTCGCTGTGTATGCCACGACTTCCTCAGCAGTAAAGGTGTGATCCGTTTCTAAAATACTAGGCTAACACGATACAAATTGGGAATTGAAGAAATTTGTCGATAACATGATAAATCACTTCCACATGCTGGTTTTGATTTTACAGCCCATCCACTAGAGGAACAGAAAGAGGCGTAAGAAGAAAGAGAGAGAGAGAGAGCTAAGAAATTTTGTTTCAAGCTATGTTTCTACAAAGTAAATTCGCTGATGTACTTTTCGTCAGAGCAGATTTGTTGAGTGGAAGTGAGATTTCCTCACTGGTTAGAAAATTTTTAAATGGTATGATTGAAAGTGAACGAAGTTTTACGTAATTCTAGGCACAACTTTTGAAAAGCAATAAGGTTTACCATTGGTTATATACAATATACACCTTCAAATAATTTCAGTCTTTTCAATTATCACATGCTGAATAACTCAGGAAAGTTTATGCATGTGTGTGTAATGTTTTCTCAGATCATTTTGGTAATGAAACCTTTATGAACTCAGCTAGGAGAACACTAAACAATTATAATTCTGTGCTTATCAGACAGTTTATCCTTCATTTGTGTTATTTCGTATTGTTCACTTCTGTTCAATCACAGCTGGGATACAGTAAGCCCGTTTGACATTTGTCAACTTGCCTCATCTATGAGGCCGACTGGCGAGGTATCTGACTATCTATCAGAGAACGAGTGTACTGCGCTGCAATCCTTTCTATCCCATTATACGGCTATGAAACATGACCGTTGAAAGTAGAAGACATAAAGTGGCTACAGGGGTTTGGACCATAGATGTCGTGGTGGCATTGATGGGGTTTTGTGGAATCACCATGTGAGCAAATGGTACTAGGCAGGACAAGTGAGTCAATTGATGAGGTTCTAAACCCTAGTCAACTGGGATGACTTGGGCATGTACTGCGCATGACAAGCGACCGCCCACCTCGACCAAGACGTAGCATAAGTCGAGGAAGTTTCTTACTGTTGGTCTGTAGCGTGTAGGAAGATGTCGACTGCATTGTTGGGGTTCACAAGACGAAAGGAATCAATGGTTGAAGATCCTTGGTGACGTGGCTGAAAATCGGTGACAATGGGGTAGATGTATTCACTCCTTGACATCTTTTAAAGCTTGAATATTCACACACCTTTATTTTCAGGTTGTTTATTGTCTCATACAACTTTATCTACTTTTATATCATACTTTTTCTATCCACTACTATTAAGTGTGGCAACTTGAGCCGATGTACTTGTGTGCTAGGTTGTACGTTGATTTTTTCAGTCAGTCAGTCACAATTTACTTCATATACATGGTACTCTTAATCATCTCTGGAAAAGAGTTAAATGTGTTTGGAAACTGATCAGTAGTATTGTTTAGTAGTACTGATCTAATCTGTTAAGGTTTAGATAGTTCTAAAATAGTGGACAACTAAAGAAAAATGAAATATCGTGTCGTTTAATAAAATGCTGATTTAAATCAGCTGATTCATTTATTTTGACGTATTGATAGATCAGCGTAGAACCTTACTTAGTAGAACATCGACTACGGTGATTATACGTATAACCAACCTCATCACGTGATTTCGAATGATTTGTTAAGGAATTTAGTTGGTTTCAAGTTGGGATTCATCATGGACTGATTTTATTTGGAGAAACACTGGGGACCTGGGAGTACTAGACAACTGTTTTGTCTCAGTGTGAGATTCCTCAGCAGTGCTAGCCCATGAATTCTTCCTCCAGGATCTTCAGTTTCTGAGGCCAGCACGTTACCATTGAGCCACTGTCAGTTCACGATATAGCACGACTTCCATCCAATGCCGTAGTTGAGTGACTGTCTTCATGTTCGACTTAGTTGACTCCGCTGGTCACGACTTCTCATTCGAATTTCGGGAATCACCTCTCGAAGCTAGTCGCCAATGAGCGCTAGACTGATTTTCTCTGGATGTTTGAGGGGGTTTATCAGTTGATTTTAGGTTGGATTTCATCATGTACTGACATCAGTTGGAGGGACATTGGAAACCTGGGGACACTGGAAACATGAGCCATTGGACTTCTACCCAGTGACTCTAAGGTAACGTGCTGGCCGCAGAACCTGAAGGTTCTAGGTTCGGTCCTTGGTGGGGTGGGGTCGTGGGTGCACACTGCTGAGGAGTCTCGTACCAGGACGAAACAGCTCTCCAGTGCTCCCAGGTTTCCATTTATGGATTCCAACTTAAAATCAATTAATAAATCACAAGCCCCCAGTTTGAATTAAGAATTGTAAATTGTCTAATACAGGTGTAAAGAAAATGTTCTCACCTAAGAAAACGGTCGATATCACTCCAAGTTGGTGTTTGTGATGACGCAGAAGCACTTAGCCGTAATTGTTTTACATATTTATTATCTCGCGTTGCTATACTGGGTGGAGTTTCCTCAACCTCCTTTGGTTGATAGGCTCGTATACGGTCGCCTCGATACTGACTCATTGTGTAGATGTCTGTTTGGCAGCTAGCAGTGGAATGTATGACAGCGTTCTTCATCCTATTCAGGAACAACATCACTCACTGAAGTGCAGGTTTGTTCAGCTTACGAGTCCCGAATAGGACGAAACGTACTGCCTGTATTCCAAGCAGACATCAATTCAGCCTTTATTTAATTACACTTAATAGTTTAATTACTCAACTTTCATCCACATCTCGGTAAGGTTTTTTTACTATGACAATGGACCAGTATTGAGATGTGTGTGTGTGTTTGAATTGCATCGTTTCTTTTCGATGTGAAAATTTCCATTGTTCTTATAGTACTTAGAGTCAAATCATACCTGTCTGTCTGTAGTACTATTGATTGACTCTTGTCACATTGAACGAGTATATTTAACATGTTTCTGATTGTCTGTATCAAAAGCCTTAAATGTATGTATCGTGGAAAAAGATGCTTTGGACTGATTAGCTTAACCGTCTAAGCAACCCTCTCTCTCTCTCTGTGTTGTGTAATTTAGTGGATATATTGTATATCATTTGAAGTGGATATGATATACAATTGCTAATTGGTAACAGCAGATAGTTATTTCGACTTATTAAGGAAACTGGGGGAGAAGATCATAACGGTTATTGAGACTAGCGGAGAAGGACGGGTCTGCGATTCACTCTCAGGAGAGACGACTGGAACGATGGGCAGAACACTTTGAGGAACAGTTTAACTGGCCTCCAGCCACCATTGCGTTGCCTGTTATCCAGTCGGATCCTGACTTTAACATTGAAATATGCCCCCCAACACTAGGAGAAGTCGAGAAAGCTGTAGTTAACTTGAAACGAGGAAGGGCAGCAGGACCAGATGGACTAACTCCAGAGGTATACAAGGGTGGTGGTAAGGTGGTCTTAGTCAGGTTAACGAAATTGTTAACCAGTGTATGGGAATCAAATATGACCCCTTCTGTTTTGTCTAAATCACTGATTATTCTAGTCTTCAAGAAAGGCGAGAATTCCTCTTGTAGTAACCACAGAGGAATCAGCCTGATGAACATAGTATCTAAAATTCTGAGTTCTGTAATTCTCCGACGCCTGAGTGGAGTTCTGGAACAGCAAGCCCTAGGAAACCAGGCAGGCTTTAGACCCGGCCGTGGGTATACCGACCAAATATTCACACTGCGCCAGGTTCTGGGACTCAGGCACGCTTACCAACACCCGACACTAGCTGTATTTTCCGACCCGAAGGGGGCATTCGACTCTGTTGATCGAGAAGTCTTATTGCAACGTCTCTCACTGACAGGCGTGCCGAGTAAGTACGTCACTTTATTGAAGGCTCTCTATTCGAACACTTGTGGGCATGTTAGAGCCTGTGGTGTGATGTCGTAGGAGCTGTGCCCGTCGAGTGGTGTCCGTCAGGAGTGCCCACTCTCCATTCTTATTCAATTTTATCATAGATATTCTTATGGAGGTGTCCCTCTCGTCACCTGACTACACAAAGGTTGACCTAATCGGTGGGGAATTTCCGTTAGACCTAGAATATGCAGATGACATAGTCCTGCTAGGTGAAGACGTTGACAAGATGCAGAGTCATCTGGACACCTGGATTGGGATGCGTTTCTCACCACCCAAATGGGAATTGTTGCTCCAGGATTGATCTTCAACCATGCCCCACCGCGGCTAACAATAGAGAGTGTAGAGGTTGAATGTGTCGACGACTTCACTTACCTGGGAATTAGGATCAGCCCTGATGGCTCAGTGACCAATGAAATCTCTGCATGAATACAAAAGGCACGGGTGGCTTTCGCCACCTTACACCACCTGTGGTGCCGCCACGATATCCGATTGTCTATTAAGTGTCGTGTGTAATACACAACAGTTCGCTCTGTTCTACTATATGGCTGTGAAACATAACCACTGAAGGTGGAAGACATGAGGAGGCTTCAAGTGTTTGACGACCGTTGCCTTCGTAGTATAGGTCATATTCCGTGGTATCACCAGGTAAGTAACGCAGATGTCAGGTGTAGAGTTCCAGGGAGAAGAGGTGAGTCAGTTGACATGACTGTGAACTTTGATAGACTGAGCTGAGATGGTTGAGACATGTGTTACGTATGCCCAGTCGTCGTCTACCTCATCACACAATGTTGGGAGAAGTAGGTTGAGACTGGAAAAAGACTCTTGACTGTCGGCGAGACTACAACATGGTATGAATGTATGAAGTCTGTTGTTGACTGTTGTTTTGAAGTATGTGGGGGAGGATGCAGACTATCCGGTTATGGTCCACGGGATGGGAGAAATCAGTGGTTTGAGACTGATTGTAAGTGATATAGCTGAGATGCGATGTCCATGGCTCAGATGTGTGTACACACCTTATCCTCATCTTAAACACTATACCGGACCTCACCATTTTCTCATTCTTCGTTTCTCTCTCTTCGTACTTTATATTTCTCTTGACCGAATTTTGTTTTCTTCATCTTCCACTTCAGTGCCTTTTTACTTAACGTGTTGATATGAGGTGTGGCATTTTGCACCGTTACGCAGTAATGCCTGGTGCTATGTTGATTTTGATGCTGATATCTTTTGAAGTTGACAACAGTTGTTATCGTCAACCATTTTGTTTTCTTTTCTTTTTAAATAGTGGTACGCAACTGTTCATAATTAATCCAGCTTTGGGTGATCGTGTTCGTGTTTCGCACACTGAAACAAATCTCTTACAGTGGTGGTCAAATATGAATGCTAATTCTGATGATATAACTGTTCTGACGGATAATGGAGATTTGGTAAGTACTAATTTTCTCCCATTTGACCAGACACCAGTCAATGAAGTCCCTAACTGTGTCTGAGCCGTGTGGAGAGATGCAGACTAGCTGGCTTGGGTCCTCGAGACGATCCGAATCAATGGTTGAAGACTCTTGTTCACATGACTGAAAATCAGTCATGGTCACAATGGTTGTGCAAATGTATTCACTCCTTGACATCTTCTAAAGCTAGATTAGTGGCCGACGAGATTTCTGCACGGATAAAACAAAGGCTTGGTTGGCTGTTACCAACTTACACCACCTGTGGTGCCGCCACGATATCCGATTGTCTATTAAGTGTCGTGTGTAATACACAACAGTTCGCTCTGTTCTACTATATGGCTGTGAAACATAACCACTGAAGGTGGAAGACATGAGGAGGCTTCAAGTGTTTGACGACCGTTGCCTTCGTAGTATAGGTCATATTCCGTGGTATCACCAGGTAAGTAACGCAGATGTCAGGTGTAGAGTTTCAGGAAGAAGAGGTGAGTCAGTTGACATGACTGTGAACTTTGATAGACTGAGCTGAGATGGTTGAGAAATGTGTTACGTATGCCCAGTCGTCGTCTGCCCCGTCACAAAATGTTGGGAGGAGTAGGTTGAGACTGGAAAAAGACTCTTGACTGTCGGCGAGACTACAACATGGTATGAATGTATGAAGTCTGTTGTTGACTGTTGTTTTGAAGTATGTGGGGGAGGATGCAGACTATCCGGTTATGGTCCACGGGATGGGAGAAATCAGTGGTTTGAGACTGATTGTAAGTGATATAGCTGAGATGCGATGTCCGTTGGTTAGATGTACACATCCATTATCCTCATCTTAACTGCTATACTTCATCTCATCCTTTTTTCCTCTGTTTTACTACTTTCTACTTCGTTTGACCTATTTCTCTTTCCTTTTTCATCTTCCACTTCAGTGCCTTTTTACTTGACTTGTTGATATGAGGTGTGGCACTTTGGACCGTTACGCATTAATTGTTGGTCCGACGTTGATAGATAATGGTGATGATGAAAGCTGGAATATTCACGTTAACCCTCATCTTCAGATTGCTTGTTCTCTCACATAACTTTGTCTACTTTGATATCTCTTGTTTTCTATCCACCTGTTCTTTTTGTACTACTGGAAAGTGTGTGGCAGCTTGGGGGTAATGCACTTGTATGCGAGGTTTTACGTTAATTTTTTTCGGTATCAGTCAGGCATGAGTTTTTAAATAGTTTTCATTACAGTTACGAATTAGTTTGAGAGCCAGTGAAGAGGAATTGGGAGCAGTAGACAGCAGTTTCATCCCAGTCCGGGGCTCTTCAGCAGTAGACATCCATGACTCGGTTAAATAGAACAAACTTAAAACCATCACGTCCATTCATCCAATGGTTCACTGTTTCTCACTTTTATCAATGCGCGTTATAGTGTCACCATCATCCAATGTCATAGCGATCCACCTTATTCTAGTCTTCAATGTGAATGCGACTGAAGAAAGTCGAAATACCTTCTGCTAACATATTTCGGTCAGTCAGTCTGTTAATATCAGCCTGACACCTGGTACAAGTTCGTAACAGTACAAGTTACCCCCACCTCATGTCAACACAGAGTATAAGGCACCAGTATAAATGATAGAAAAGTCAGAAGTTGTGGAAATTTGTTAAGCAACAAAAAGAATCGATAAAACAACAATGAAGATTGAGGAAATATGGGATACAACTACACCACTGAGGAGATTGATTCTAAGCCATATCACTTACACTTTACAACCACTGATTTCTATTGTCAAACGGACTATGATCAAGAAATTTGCATTTCCGAGATACAGTTTAGATCAGGGGTCAGATGCCATGTTTCAACCTGTCTGTCTTCAACCTTTCTTCAAAGCTAGACCTACTTTAGCGAAAATTGAGTATTGAGGTAAATGATGGTTAAGCATGCATAACACATGTCCCCGGCATCTGAGTCGATAAAGACTCACTTTTTTCTACCTAAAATCAACTCGTATTAGTATTGAAATCGAGGGATGATAATGTAACAGGATAGCTAGGTATCAGAAGATGTGTGATTATTATTGTTGTTTTGATATTGATTATGAGAAATAGATTGTGCTCAAAATGTCACCAGTTTGTAATAATCATATCATTATTATACCCTAAATCAAATAAACGAGTTTAATACTGGAGGGCAAACAAACTGCAGACATGCATCATCAGCTGCTTACGCTCGATACTGAAGACCAAATGACCAGAAAGAATAAGCAACAGGAAACTCTGGCCGGGCAGCGAACCAGCGGGAAACCTATCGCCCAATAAATATGCAGAGGAAAGTAGAGATGTGTTGGTCTGGATATACACTGAGATGACCGATTGGGGACATCACGCACCATGCCAGGCCCTCGAGTGGGACCCAAATGAGAAACGACAAGTTGGGCGTCCGAGGGTGACATGGAGAAGATGGTATACGGAAGAAATGGAAGCTTATGGGCAATTGTGGAGCCAGGTTAAGAAGACTTCAGAGAAGAGAACGAAACGGAGATGTGTTACTGAAGCCCTATGTTCCACTAGAAACCCAAGGGAGAAATAGTAATAATAATAAATACTTTAGGAATAAGGCCTTTATGCACTGAGTTTGCTCATTCTTAGTTACTGTCTATCGTATGCTCTGGACGGATATGTGTTGCGCATGCCGAGCCATCATCCACCTTGACATCCCATGCTAGGAGAAGTTGAATTACTTTGGAAGAAGGTTCAGGATGGCCAGACCAAAACCTGACACCAGTCGATGAAGTTCCTTGCCTTTGGTCTGAGCTATGTAGGGAGATGTAGACTGCCTGACTGAGGTCCAGGAGATGATAGAAACCAGTGGTTAATGACTCTTGGTGACCGTTGCACAGCTGTATGCACTCCTTGACGTCTTCTAAAGCTTGTATAGTTGTGCTAACCTTTATCTTATACAACTTTATCTACTTTGATACTCTCCTTTTTCTGTCCACCCTCCTTTTTGTTTACTGGTATGTAGAGTGGTAAGTTGGACCAATGCACTTCTGTACGGGATCCTACGTTGACTCTGTCTGTGTGTCACATTATAGATCATGAAACTAGAGGATAACATCAGTCGATCATGTTTTTGACCTTTGACGTAAATCATGTAGAAAATTGTAGGCTTTTAGCTTGAGTTTTGCATGAAAATGTTTAAGCTTTGGAGGACATTAAAGAATGAATACATCTGCATCAACATGACCCATTTTCCACTATGTCACCAAAAGTCTTCAACCACTGATTTCTATCGTCTCTAGGATCTCAACCAAGCACTCTGTATCTCTGCATATAACTCAAACCAACAGGAAGCGACTTCATCAACTCGTACCACATTATGGTCTATTCACCTTAAAGCCTCTATCAACCTAATTCCGCTTTTTGTAACATAATAAACCGAGGTTGGTGATGTCTTGGCATATGCAGTATATATCCAAGCCAGCTTATCTCGCTTTGTACTCTTCGCCTAACTTTGACATTGCTCACATGATGATAAGAATAGCAGCAATACAGTCAAACAAGAAAAAAACCTTTATTGCTAAATATTCATGCATGTCAAAGGTGATCACTGATCGAACGTCTTTGTTTAGCCCTACTGACTGTTGTTGTTTATCAAACCAATACGCGGTAATGTAACAATACCATCTTTTATTCCACCTAACCATGCCACAGTCTAATGTCATATTTGACTTTATTCAATGCGTTATTATGGTATTGTCACTAGGTCGTAGTGCTTGAATTATACTCTTTTGTATTTCGTTACAATTTTTTATTTATATCCAGTATTCATGAAAATTATTGAAGTTTGTTAAGTATCTCTTTTTAGTCGAGTTCTAATTTACTTAGTTATATTTTTTGAGTTTCATAATGTCACCTAATTGGTGCTATAACATTTTTCTCTTCAGATTTCTGAAGAAGCTGAGAAAGATGTGCCAACAAAACGATTTCGATCTGATGGTACCATGGAAGTTGATGGTGATGATGAAACTGAAGTTGACGTGAAATCTAAGGCTAAATGGACAATTAAAATACCGCCTCAGAATACTGGCAAGGTGGCTACATGCAAAACACTTGAACGTCATCGGATAATTATCACTGTGACTGATGTAATTTCATTTTTTGTTACTTTGTATCTGTTATTGTTGTTGCATTACACTTCAAAGGTATTCAGGTTCACATTCCGTCTCTATGGGATGAATTCCTCCGGTTATAGCGCTAATGAACTTGACTCGAAACGAGCGAAACGGTTGCCCGGTGTTTGTTTGTATCACTCTGATTTAGCTAGGAAAAACTACAAATCAGCTCGAAGAGGTTTCTAGCTGTTCAAATTGTGTTCACTAGCATATTTCGTTAGTTTATGATATGTTTCTATGTCATTCTTAATTAGTCTCAAAAATCTCACTCTTCTGAATGTTTTAGTCTCATGGATGCCATTTCAAGGATCATAATTCACACCACAACTATCCTTCATTCACTACTATTTTATATATTCCAGGCGAAACCGGTGTAAACGATCTTTCTTTGTTGATTTGTTGTTTGTGTGCACAAGCTTTTGATGGATCATCTTTGACTACTTTGATATCCCTCTTTTTCTGTTCATATGTTCTTTGTATACTACTACGAAGTGTAGTACCCGTGATATTCCTGATTGTAGTGGACTGGATCATGCAACAAACAGTGGGGAGCGAGAAGAGGGGGATACGCTGGACCTCAGAAAAGAACATAGAAGATTTGGATTTCGCCAATGGTGACTTGTGTCTGATGTCACACAAACTTGAAGATCTACAGGTGAAAACTAACAAGTTGACAGAAGAGGCAGCGAAGATGGGACTTCAAGTGAATGTAGAGAAGACAGAGGTGATGAAGATACCCAACCAACAACAACAATAAACCCCAATCACCATCAACGGGAGTAAGTTAAAGGAAGTAGCCTCCTTCACTTATCTGGGCAGCACTGTTTCAACTACAGGCGGTGCAGACGAGGATGTCAAATCAGCCAGGATCGGGAAAGCAAGACAGGCGTTCATTAGCCTGAAGCCATTGTGGAGATCTTCTGGACTCAGTATGTGGAACAAGATGCGGATTTCCAACACCAACATCAAATCAGTGCTTCTGTATGGCTCAGAGACTTGGCGTGTACGGAAGGCATTTCCAACAAACTACAGGCATTCATCAAGAATTGCCTACTCTGGCTCGATACTGAAGTTCAGATGGCCAGAAAGAATCAGTAACAAGGAACTCACTCTGGTTGGCAACGAATCAACCAAGAACCTATCACCTAACAAATATGCAGTGGAAGGAAGTGGAGATGGATTGGGCATGCACTGAGAAGGCCGACTGGGGACATCACGCGTGAGACCAGGCACTTGAGTGAAACCCAAATTGGAAGCGACGAGTTGGGCGTCCCAGCTGAGGGTGACATGGAGGAAATCGTGCGAGGAAGAAATGAGAGCTTTTAGGCAGTCGTGGAACCAGGTTCAAAAGTTTGTAGAGAACATAGTTGAATGGAGACGTGCTAGTGAAGCCGTATGTTCCATTAGGAACCCAACGGACAAATAATAGTAATAATAATAATAATAATAATAATAATAATAATAAAGTGTAGTACAATTTTCATAATTATCAAATTAACAGTTATATAAATATGTTTGTCTTTATTAGCCTATAGTTAGTTTGGACTGGCATCCGAAAGGTGATTATCTTCTCACTCTATCTCGTCCACTTCTTTCATCTCTTATTCGTTCACGATCAGCTAAACGATTATTACTTCATCGATTATCTAAAATGTCTAGTCAAGCTCCATTCTCTGATACTGGTCGACCTGTGGAATGGAAACAGGCAGCTTTTCATCCAACTGGTAAACCACATCTATTTGTTGCTAGTGCACGAGCAGTACATGTATATGATCTAGTTGAACAAAAGGAGTTGCGTTGTTTACGATTGGAGAGTTCATCGAATTTTGTCAGTTCAATGGCTTTGCATCCATCAGGTAATAAATTTTTTGAATATGAATATATTTCCAGTATTTTTCAGTTCTTTAAACCACTAGTATGCGTTTAAAGCAATCTATTCCGCTTTCGAGTCTTAATAGGAATAATATCACCCACTAGGAGATAGGTACATCTAGCTGAAGAGACCCAGATAGAACGAAACGCCCATCCTGGATTCTATTGCTAGCCATTATCCATCATTATAAAAATATGTGTTTTAATTGTTTTGAAGTTGATTTATACATCATTTGACAGTATTTCATGATCAGTAACAGATCTAACTAAGTCGACTTACATTCAAGATTAGCTTTCAAACTTCCAGCACTACTAGCTTCTACATAACACCATGAGATCTTCAAGTAATGGTGTCTACAACTTCCAAGAACATCCCAAGATCAACAGTCGCTTCAAAGACAAGTAGAACGTTGGGTGGGATACTTTAGAAGACAGTGTAACCGATCTACTATTTCCAGCAACATCGACTTTATTGATATGTGTTACATGGTTAATTAACATTGACCGGCTGCCCAAAGCAGAGATCTGTGATAAACGCTTAGTACCAAAACGTCATTGGACACTTAATCCAGACAACTTACGCCAGTATTTTTGTAGGGATCAGGCTGACATAGTAGTAAGGGTATTGACTGTATTGTCTGACAAGAGACGGCACACTTAGGGTGTTGTATCATTGAGTTTTTCCTCTCTTCCAAAAACCGTCTATGTTGCATGTCTGACTGTCATTGGAGTATCAGTCTGTTAACATTATCTTCCAAAATGTTGATTACTGTCATATTTCGCAAACCGTCCAAAAGATGTGAAAAGCTGACTCACAAGATGCCGACCGGTATTCATCCAAGTCGTCGATATTTTGGTCACGCGTTCATCTTCCATCAGATACTCGAAAATCATCACCTATATGACAGGTTGATAATCGTTGTACTACGGCTGCTTTCAATTCGTTGGACGAAGGGCTGTAATCTGAAATTGTACTTTCAGGAACAGGGCGTTTTTGAGAAGTTCGTTAACATCATGAAAGCCCTACGGCTAAATATCTCAGGTTAGAATGAAGCCATTGTTCCGACTTAATAGTAGGGGTAGGCATAGTTGGCCGATCTCACCATTACCCTTTAACTTTGCTATGGATGATATTCTCAAGACGGCTGTGAAGCTCTGTATGTGCGTGTTTAGTGTGTAGACCAGCTACCAGGTAGAAAATCTTTTGATCTGGAGTATCCAGACGATATCGTTTTGCTACATGATAGCATACAAGCTACTCAAATCACAATTAATCAGTTAGCAATTAAAAGAGAATTGTTTTTTCTCCTCATTCTGTTTGCGAAAATCATATAACACGAGTTTGTGTTCCTATCGATACATGCATCTGCTGCACTCTGGTTGATCGTATTATAGCAAGAAATGTTATCTATAGTTCTCAATGCTAGGTACATTCTGTTAACCAAGTCCATGGCGTAACCAATAGTTTTGCATTATATCCATTTCTGGAGAACTAGAAGGAGTCGTCAAAGGTTATACTTTATTATTGTCTGTTGGTCGTTTGAACTATATATACACAAAGGTATACCAGCATCTCAAAGGTTTTAGAATCAGATTATTCAGCTCTGGAATTACACTGGTGTTACAACTAAACTGTTTAGCCGCATGCTTCGCTTCCTGTTTGGAACTAATCAACTTTGATGTACACGTCTCCTGGCGCATTATCCAATAACCACTTCGACGTTTGAAGCGATAGGTTCAGTGTTTGAGTCTTAGCGAGAAAAACATCACTCAGTGGGAACGTAGCGTATTCAGCTGACGAGTACCAGATAGGACGAAACGCGTGTTATGAATTCAGCTGCTAGGCACCATGTACCACCAGTATCAAAATGTAGAGTCTGGTTGTCCGATTTATTCTTCAAGAGGATATGAATCTCTCTAAGGTATTAGTAGATACAGAGTAATAAGGTTTCAAATATCTCGAGGGGAATGTAGACACGCAGGAGAGTAAAGTCAAACTTTCTGCTGATATGTCGTCTTAAACCATACAACTTCACTTGTCTACCGACTGTATCGACTCACAGGCAGAACTGTTTACTTGATCTCAACTTGACGTGTTTTTCTTCTTTATTGTTTATTTACTTCTTAGCTAACGTGTAAATCAGTTGTGATGTTTTCTTCTTTTGTATAGGTGAACATTTAGTTGTTGGTACTTATGATAGTCGTTTCAATTGGTTCGATATTGAATTGGGTAGTGTTCCTTTCAAAAAGCTACAGTAAGTTAATCGTCTGATGTGCTTAAATGAAAGAGACCTATCGCTGTTCTGTCTCCTCGATACGTTTTTTCTGCAGTGGTAAAATGTGTCAATCATTTAGCTTACTTGGAAAGTTGCATCGGCGCAAAACGGACTGGTGGGTGACGATGTCTCAGCTCGGATACAGAAGGCTCGTTTAGCACTTGCCAACTTACGTTATCGCTGACTCTCTGTTAAAGGCCGAGTGTTGTGCACTACAGTCCGTTTTGTCTTGTTATACTATTACAGGGTTTTGATCATAGGTGTTTTCGTAGCATTTCTGGCGTTTGATGGAATCACTGTAAGAGCAGTGTTGAGGTCACGTGAAGCGTACTAGGGAAGACAGGCATGTTGGTTGATGAGATTGTGAAAATTAGTCGACTGAGGTGACGTGGATATGTGTTGCGTATGCTGATCCACCACCTAACTCGACATTCAACGCTAGAATAAGATGGATTAGGTTGAAAGACGCCTGGTGGTAGTCAGACCAAGACATAGCACTAGTCGATGAAGTCTCTGATTGTTGGTCTGAGTCGTGGACTACCTGCCTGCGATCCTCGAGACAACAGAAATCACTGGTTGAAGACTCTCGGTGACATGGCTAAAAATCGGTTGCAGTAGCGCAGATTTATTCACTCTTTGACGTTTTATGAGGCTTAAATATCTCCAGTAACCTTTATCTTCTAATTGTTTATCGTCTCACACCACGTTGTCTGTTTTAATACGAATCTTTTCCTATCCACCTGTTCTTTGTTTACTATTGTGAAATGTGTCAACTTGACCCCATGCTTTTATTTACAAGGTTCTACGTTGATTTCATCAGTCTGTCTTTGTTTTGCATATACAGCTGTGGCTCATTAGTCTAGGCACTCGATTTTTAATCGGATTGGTCATGAGTTCGAACCTACCGAGGTCTTGGCAGCCAGGTAGTAAATATTATTAGTTCGCACATGATTATATTATTATTATTATTAGTCCCTTGGGTTCCTAGTGGAACATAGGGCTTCAGTAGCACGCCTCCAGTGACCTCTGTTCTCTGAGATCTTTTGAACCTGGTCCCACGACAGCCCAGAAGCTCTCATTTCCTGCTCGCACGACCTCCTCCATGTCACCCTCGGACGTCCAACTCGTCGCTTCCCATGGGGATTCCACTCGAGCGACTGGCCTGACGCGTGATGTCCTCCGTCGGCCTTCTCAGTGCATGGCCAATCCATCTCCACTTCTTCCTGCATATTTGTTGCGTGATAGGTTCTTGGTTGATTCGTTCCCAGAGTTCCTTGTTGCTTATTTTTTCTGGCCATCTGATCTTCAGCAGCGAGCGTAAGCAGTTGTTGATGAATGTCTGTAGTTTATTGGAAATACCTTTCGTGACGCGCCAAGTCTCTGAGCCATACAAGAGCACTGACTTGACGTTGGTGTTGAAAATCCGTATCTTGTTCCACATGCTGAGTGCAGAAGATCTCCACACTGGTTTCAGGCTAATGAATGCCTGTCTTGCTTTTCCGATTCTGACTTTGACGTCCTCGTCCGTCCCGCCTGTAGTTGAAACAGTGCTTCCTAGATAGGTGTAGGTGAAGGAGGTTACTTCCTTTAAGTTTCTCCCGTTGACGGTGATTGGAGTTTGTTGTTGTTGTTGATGGTGGTGGTGCGGTATCTTCATCACTTCTGTCTTCTCTATATTCACCTGAAGTCCCGTCTTAGCTGCCTCTTCTATCAACTTGTTAGTTTTTGCCTGCAGATCTTCAAGTTTGTGTGACATTAGGCATAAGTCATCGGCGAAATCCAAGTCTTCTAGGTTCTTTTCCGTCGTCCAGTGTATCCCCCTCTTCTCGCAGCCTACTGTTTGCTTCATGATCCAGTCGAGTCGACCACAATCAGGAATATCATGGGTGATAGTAGGCAACCTTGTTTCACTCCTGTCTTCACTTCAAAGGCATCACTGAGCTTCCCATTGTGGATTACTTGGCTGGTATGTGGCATCTTCATATAGTTGTTGAATGAGGCGGATAAAGGTTTGCGGTACTCCGTAGTATTGAAGCAGTTTCCAAATTACTTGTCGGTCGACGCTGTCAAAGGCCTTCTCAAAGTCGATAAAGTTGAGGTAGAGAGCTGATTGCCATTCTATGCTCTGTTCTATGATGATACGAAGCGTTGCAATTTGGTCTGCACATGATTTGTACTTCCTGAAACCAGCCTGCCTGTTCCGGTCGCAGTTTTGAATCCAGTGCGTCTTTAAGCCTCTCTAGGATGATGCGGCCTAATATTTTACTTGGGGTGGACAGGAGAGTGATTCCGCGCCAGTTCTTGCAAACACTGAGGTCTCCTTTCTTCGGCAGTTTGACAAGGTAACCCTTCTTCCAATCGTCAGGTACCTTCTCTTCCTTCCACACCTTCTGCAATAGTGGTGTGAGCATGTCCGCTGTTGTCTCTGCATCTGTTCTCAGTGCTTCTGGTGGTATTCCATCTGGTCCTGCTGCTTTCCCGCATTTCAGTAGCTTTATGGCGTTCAGGACTTCCATTTTCGTTGGGGGATTAATGTTCACTTGTAATTCAGCGGCTGCAGGTGGTATTTCTGGACGAAGTGCAGGTGGTGGTGGTGGTGGTCGATTCAAGAGCTTCTTGAAGTGGTCGGCCCATCGATTCCTCTGTTTCTCTTCTTTTGTAATTAAATTTCCTTCTTCATCTTTTATTGGTTTCATCTGTGTTGGTCTCTTCCCTGATAGCAACCTGGTTATTTGATACAATGTCGTCAGGTCTCTCTTACCTGCAGCCTGTTCTGCTTCACTTGCCAGTGTTTCGTAGAAGTGTCTTTTGTCTTTGCGTGCACTCTTCTTCACTTCTTTGTCCAGTGTTTTATATATTGTGCTCAGTTCCTCTTCTCGTTGAGCATCCTTGCACTGGTTTATCTTCTGCTTCACCATCCTCATCTCCTGCTCTATCAGCTTCCAGGTATCCGTCGAGATCCATTCCTTGTCTTCTTTCTTCTTCCTTCCTAATACTGTTGTGCAGGTTTCTTTCCACATAGCTTTCAAAGACTTCCAGTGTTCTTCCACACAGGTTTCTTCAGGGATGTTGCTCGATGTCTCCCATTTTGTCTTGATGGCTGACGTGAAGATCTCCTTTGTAGTTTCATCCTTCAGTTTCCGAGTGTTGTACTTGGGTTGAGGTCTATCACCAGCTTCCTTGAAGGCTTTTAACTTGATTTGGAAGGTTCCTTGCACTAGATAGTGGTCTGAACCTACATCTGCTCCTCTTCTTGACCTTGTGTTAAGTAGACTGCGTCTCCATTTTCTTGAGATTGAGATAAAGTCGATTTGATTTTAAGTGTGTCCTGGTGTCTGGTGAAATCCATGTCGCTTTGTGGATATCTTTGTGCCTGAAAACACTGCCTCCAATCACCAAATCGTTGAATGCGCAGAATTCTGCAAACAATTCTCCATTCTCATTCATTTCACCTAGCGCCTCTCGACCCATGGTTAGTTCTCTTCCCGTGTTGTCCCCTCCCAGTTTGGCATTCATGTCACCCGATGCATTAGAATTTTGATATCGCCAACTGACGTCTTGTCCAGTGTTGATTGGAGTTGTCTGTAGAAATCCTCCTTTTTCTCTTGCTCTGCATTATTTGTAGGTGCATAACATTGTATGATTGTGACCTTTCTTCCTTTTGAGTTGAATCTTGCTGTCATGATCGTGATGCTGAAGGAGATTGGTTCCCACTGCATGAGAGCCTTCGATGCTCTTGAGGACATCATGATAGCCACTCCCTCGGTGTGCTCGTGGTTGGCGTCTGGGTGACCGGAGTAGATTATTGATTCTCCCGTTGACAGTTTGGAGAGTCCACTCCCATTCCATCTGCTTTCGCAAATCCCAAGCACATGATAGATGTATCTTATTGCCTACTGCAGAAATATGCACGACATCAACTATATCACTGTAGTGTAGGACTCCTTATTTATTCTCATCCATATCTTCGTGAGGGATAATGTCTAGGATCATCATGCCTCATGATGACCGTGTTATCATGGGTTTGAGACAAACGGTTCACCACTTTCTACCTTTGTGATACACCGTGACCATTGTCAGAAGCAGCTTCCGTGTGCTATCTGAAGCACTGAACTTAAGTCACTGGATCATTGGTTCGAAGGCGCATCCACCTACCGAATATCAAGTAGATAACACTTAACCAATAGATTTTGTTCTGAGTCTACTACATAAAACTGTACATCGTCATCGATTTGCATTAATTTACTCCTAGTCTCAAGTTGGGAGGCGGCAGTGGTCGACGAGACCTGTGCAGGGATAGAAAAGGCTTGGCTGGCTTATGCCACCTTACACCACCTGTGGCGCCGCCACGATATCCGATTGTCTATTAAGTGTCGTGTGTAATACACAGCAGTTCGCTCCGTTCTACTATATGGCTGTGAAACATAACCATTGAAGGCGGAAGACATGAGGAGGCTTCAAGTGTTTGACGACCGTTGCCTTCTTAGTACAGGCCATATTCCGTGGTGTCACCAGGTAAGTAACGCAGATGTCAGGTGTAGAGTTCCAGGGAGAAGAGGTGAGTCAGTTGACATGACTGTGAACTTTGATAGACTGAGCTGAGATGATTGAGAAATGTGTTACGTATGCCCAGTCGTCGTCTGCCCCGTCACAAAATGTTGGGAGGAGTAGGTTGAGACTGGAAAAAGACTCTTGACTGTCGGCGAGACTACAACATGGTATGGATGTGTGAAGTCTGTTGTTGACTGTTGTTTTGAAGTATGTGGGGGAGGATGCAGACTATCCGGTTATGGTCCACGGGATGGGAGAAATCAGTGGTTGAGACTGATTGTAAGTGATATAGCTGAGATGCGATGTCCGTTGGTTAGATGTACACATCCATTATCCTCATCTTAACTGCTATACTTCATCTCATCCTTTTTTCCTCTGTTTTACTACTTTCTACTTCGTTTGACCTATTTTTCTTTCCTTCTTCATCT